CCCCGCCTTTTATAAACCATATTTTCATTGATTTCTTGCCTTCCCAATAAAATCCCTCGAAAAGCTGGGAGAAGGCAGACGAGCGTCTTGCTGTGGTTTCCTTGGCTGCTGGAGAAAAACACCTGCTGAATATCATTCCATAGCAATGGCAGTGCAAGCCATCGCACCGAGCTGGACCTGTGCCGGTAGGAGGGCTGAGCTGCTGCTACCGACTCACCCAGCAGCAGCAAGTCCGGCTCAGCGCTGCAGAGGAGCTGGCAGAGGGATCCCTGCAGGACCCGGAGCACAGCCCCGACGGCTCGCTCAGCTTGCGGGGCCGGGCAGCGGCGCCTGGATCATCACATCTGCTGCAGGTCGAGCTGGCGGCTGGGCTCCCTGTGCTCCCCCACCCCGGGGAGTCTCCACCCTCTCCCTCCGTGGGGAGGGCAGGGCCAGGGCCAGCCGCTGCTTTCACCTTTTCTGCTTTGAGCTGAACAAGTCGTAAGCTGCCACAACCCAACCACGCCGGCAGCGGTGACGCTCTGAGTGAAGGAGAGCATCTCTGCCTGCCCGAGGCTTGCGGCATGGGTAGGGCAGGCAGAGCTGGCAGGATGGGATGAATCCCAGCAAGGCATGTCAGACGAGGCTCAGCTGGCTGGGATATCTTCTCCCCCCAGCGTCCTGCAGACGGGTATGTTTTCCTTCAGTTCCAAAAACCTGCAAAAATGCAAAGGATTTTCTGAGCCCATCAGAGCAGGGTCTCCACGGGACACTATGTGAGTATGCCATTGATGCTGTGGAAGGAACCAAAAGTGAGGCAGCCTTTGTTGTACAAAGCAGGAGCACTGGTCCCCAGCTGAGGTTACTGAGCAGCACCAACCACAGCTTTCCAGGAGCTGTGCTAACCGTGAGCAGGGTCGGTGACAGCCATGCCACATCTCCTATGGGCTCCCTGATGCAGTTTTGCTTTACAGGACAGATGGGGTTGGTTAAACTCTGGGGGATGCCGAAGGAACTCCTTCAGTTCTTTTGGCACCGTCCCACATGAAGGCTCTGCCAGAGCTTTGACAAATGCATGAGCCCATGGAGTCACAATCTTTCTCATTGGCAAATGATGCAGAAGAGTATGTGTGATGGATTGTTTCCATTTAAAATCATGATTTTTTTATCTCTTTTTCTTAGAAAGACTTATCACTAGTTATTAGACATCGAGGTTGCTTTGTGTGCACCAAACACCACGTGGCAAGATTTTTTACAAAGCTGTAACCTCGGATAGGTATATCATTGTTAATGAACCATGCTCCAAGACCTTGTTCTTTCCTTTATCAATGATTTTATCAATGATTTTATAATAGTTAACTCTCTACTGTATTTATATGAGACTTAGAAACATGCCAGCAGCTAGTGAATATCATTGCATAGTCCCAGTGGTATTGGAAAAGGTGCACACATGATCGAATAGGTGCAGAATACTGTTATCTTGTTCAGGGAGCATATCTGCAGCCAGGGCTGGGAACCTCAGCAGATAATTTGTGGTATCAGATCTGGGCCATCCCCAGGCAGCTTGGATGCAGGACTCAAAGGTGTACTAAGTAAATTACTACACTGGGATGAGCTGTTGACTCCCCTGAAGGCAGAGACTCTGCAAAGAGACCTTGACAAGTTGGAGGGCTGGGAAATCACCAACCACATGAAATTTAAACACAGACAAGTGCTGTATTTTTCACCTGGGATGTGGCAACCCTGGATGTAGGGACAGACTGTGGAATGAGAGGCTGGAGAGTAGCACTGTGCAAAGGGTCCTGGGGGTCCTGGTCTATGGAAAGTTGAATGTGAGTCAGCAGTGCCCTGGGAGCCAGGAGAGCCAACCCTGTCCTGGGGGGCATCAGGGACAGCATCACCACGTGGGCAAGGGAGGGGATTGTCCTGCTCTGCTCTGCTCTGCACTGGGGCAGCCTCACCTCGAGTGCTGGGGGCAGTTATGGGTGCCACAATATAAAAAAGTGTGAAACTACAGAGAGCATCCAAAGGAGGGCAACTAAGATGGTGAAGGGCCTTGAGGAGCTGCCATACCACTCCTTGAGGAGTGGCTGGGGGCACTTGGTCTGTTCAGCATGGAGTAGAGTAAACTGAGGGCTGACTTCATTGCAGTTCTAGCTTCATTGTGAGAGGAAGAGGAGGGCCAGGCACTGCTCTCTTCTCTGTGGTGACAGTGACAGGACCCCAGGAAATGGCCTGAAGTTGTGTCAGGGGAGGTTTAGGCTGGATATTAGAAAAAAGTTTCTTCACCCAGAGAGTGTTTGGGCACTGGAATAGGCTCCCCAGGGAAGTGGTCACAGCTCCAACCCTGACAGGGTTCAAGAAAATTTTGGGCAATATCCTTGGGTATATGGTGTGGTTCTTGTGACTGTCTGTGCTGGGGCAGGAGTTGGGCTTTATGATCCTTCTTGGGTTCCTTCCAACTCAGAATATTCTTCTATGAGTTAGGAAAAACCAGAGCACTTACACAGGATGCAGAGAGGGGTGACTGTTGCTCTCAGCATGACTGCTGCTCAGGCTTAAACCAACTGACCAACAACAACAAAAGGAGATTAAAAACTGTGCTTATTTTGTTTGCGCAGATATTTGCTCTACTTTTAAGAGACAATAGGAATTGGATTTTTTTTAACTGTAGGCACAGGTATCCTTGAGATTTTTCTTTCTGAATGCATCAATTCACAGTTGTTCCTGTCTTCAGGCATGGAGCATATTGAAGGAAAGCCCTTCAATAACCCTTCAAGCCTTCTGATGCTTGCATTAGAGTTTGAAACACTGAGTGAAAGGAATTCTGTTTGTTCTTCTGCAGTTTCAGGAGCTGGCCAGGAGCACCTTAATTCCACTGGGATTTTTTTTCTCTTAGAAATGTGTGGGAGACATGTATAGACACAGTCTGAAGGGACTGTGTTATCAGCTGGGATAGCTGCTGAGATGTTCAGTGGTCCTGTATAAAGATAGCACAAAGCCATTCACATTCAAAGCAGTAATAAAAGAAATGCATTGTAGGAACATGATTCCTCAGAGATAAGATTACAGATTCCATTAGGAAGAGACAGTGCACACTTTGGCATCTCATTGGCTTTGCTGCTGCAGGGCTCCCAAGGGGATCAAGGTTGATGTACTGCTGCAGGGCTGGAAACCTGTGCCCTCAGGAGTGCAAAACTCAGTAATGAATTCTACCCTAATAATTTTTTTTTCTGTCTCCAGGACCATGCCTGCCTCAGGTGCTTATTTGTCAGATAAGAATGCATGGAAAGTGCTCATGTTTCCTCCTCTGTCTTTAGGCAAACCGGTGGTGTATCGCAGGATTACTTAATGTTAGTAACTGATTAAATATTATTTCACACTTCTGTTTTGTGCTTGGTCAGATGTGAGGCACACCCACAGCATGCAGCTGACCTTTGGTCCATTCACAGCACATGAACCATGAGTTGTTATACACACTGTAAGTGAGCTACCACCTTATCAGACAATCCTTACAAGCAGCTTGTATATGCTGTTTAAATATTAAATCTGACAGAAGGTCACCACCATCTGTCTATTAACCAAATTAAAGGTGAAATCTGTCCAGCAGTCACACCAGTCAAGGTGAGGTCCTGGGCTGTGCCCCTTCTTTGTCTGGAGTTGAATGAGGCTCTGCACTTTCACCTCAGCACTGGGAGGCAATGTTAAAAAACATGATAAAAATTTATTACAAGGAGAAGAAGAAAACACATTTTGTATGAGTAATTGCTATTGAAAGACTCGAGGTGATGATCCTCAGGGAAGGGATGTAGACATTGAGTCTAATGTTCTTCAACATGATGCTCCCCAGGAACTCTTGAGCTGCAGAGCAGCTGGCATGGTACTGTGCAGTACTTCCAGCTTGGTGTCAAACCTCTCAGGAATCATTTAGTCCGTCTCATTAGCCCTGGAAATAACATGATGGGCCTTTCCCTTGTATGGCTTAATATTCCCATAACCAATGACTTCAACTGTGCCCCAGAAAAGTACCAGATTAGATCACCATGCTGTTAACATTACATATTTTACTTGAGTGGGAGGTTTCCTAGCAGGTTCCTGGCTGCTCAGACTAAGTTGCATTTCTCTGATGTATTCTAGCCTCCTGAATTTATGCTTAGAGCTATAATCCTTCACAACCCTGCTTTGTCTTACAGGTGTTTTGACTCTACCTTGCTTTGCAGGCCAAAACCTGGCTTACTTGAGTTAACATGCCTAGGATATATCTAAGAGCTCTGTTTCCTCTCAGTGAACACAATAGCCCCTTAAGCTGCTAATACCAGATTCTTCTAACATCTTTCCATGTTTTCACATCCATTCATGGTTGCTCCAGCCATGTACCAGCTACCAAAGTGTTTCCTTCTCACTACTAAATTGCTGTGATCTTGTGCCAGAGCAGAAATGGGGGAATTAACTGTGGACGAACAGCAGCAGCAGGGCATTGCTGAAGAGCTGTTCCTCCTTCATGTGCAGAACTGTGAAGCAGAGAAGCAGGTGGACTCTCAGCATCCTGCTTCCCTGGTGCCCTCTAGTGACTGACTCTCAGCTCCCCCAGCTCACACTGCACAGGTTCCTGAAACACAAAGCTGCTTAGGGGTCAGGCCTGCGGGAAGAAATGAAATAGTATCGAGTTTGACCATTAGTAACAGTGTGGGATGTGAAACTTGGTGGTCCGGTTTACTTCCCTGTACTTCATGCAGGCAGCACCACCACTGCTCTGCACCAAAAATGAAGGAACAGCAAAAGAGCTTCTTGGAAACCTAGAGAACCACCCTGGAAAAGCAGGAAGGCTGTTTCAGGAAGGGCTTGCATTAGTTGTGCTTTTACCACAATTCACTACATCAACACTCACACTGCATTAGCCTTGAAGAGAGAAGAGCTTAAGAGAGTCTTTAATCTGGTACTCAGGGTCATGCCTCTCAGCATCATCTCACATCCCTGTGGGATCAGTGCAGAGCTGGGGATGCTTAGCCTGGCAATAAAAGGAGACTCAGGAGAGACCTTATTGCTCTCTACAACTACCTGGATGGAGTTTGCAGAGAGGTAAGAAGAGATCAATCTCTTCTCCCAGATAAACAAGTGACAGGATTAGAAGAAATGAATGGAAATGAACCCCTCAAGTTGTGCCAGGGGAGCTTTAGATTGGATATTAGGAGAAATTTCTTCATGGAAAGGGTGGTTAGGCATCAGAACAGGGGTGCCCAGGAAAGTGGTGGAATCACCAACCCTGAAAGTGTTAACAAAATGTGCAGATGTGACACTTGGGGATGTGGTTTAGTGATGAACATGGTAGTGTTAGGTTGATAATAGGATTCAGTCTTGGAGGCCTTTCCAACCTTAACAATGTGTTTTGTGAGACAGGCTGGCTCCCATTTCTGGGTGCCCTTCAGACTGTTTGCAAACACCCCCCAGACTTAATTTCTGCCTCTGGAAGCAGTAGGAGCATCTCTTCTCTGATGTGTGCTGGAGCCAAAATAGCTCAGGGCTCCAAATAACCTGAGGTGGAACATCTACTGCCTGTAATTAGCATACCACGTCCAGGAGCTGGAATGACCTGAGACTCAAGAGAAACCCAAGTGTCCCTAACCCAGGGTGTAACTAGGGGAGGAGGTCTGCTGGCAAGAGCATCTTTGTACCTCAACAGCAGAGCAGCCAGAACCGTGAGCTGGAGCTGGGAGATGCAGGAGTTGAAATCACTTACAGTATCAAATACCTTGAGCTGTAAGCAGCTGGAGCATTCATGAGTCAGAGCTGTGAGAACCAGGAGCATCTCTAATCCAAAGTATCTGGGGTGTCTATCACCTGGAGGCAGGGTGTCTGTCACCCAGGAGGCACATGTGTTGTCCCCTACAGGGAGGTCTAACCAGCAAGGAGCCTGGCCTCTTCCCTTGAGAATTAAATACATGTCACATGCTCCTCACCATGTGGAGCATCTCTCTCAGTCCCATTCCTGACAGCAGAAGTGAGATGAGGCTGAGTCTGGCTCTTTTGGGCAGCCCTGCTCTGAGGGGCCCACGAGCTGTGGCTGAAGGTGAGGTGGCAGCACAAGGCAGTGGAGCCTCCTCTGTACCTAAAAAAGGAGAGACACCAGTCAGTCAGAACTTCTGGGAGCATACCTCAGAGACCCTCAGGAAATGCCTGTTCCTCTCCCTGTCCAGAAGAGTCGCATCTTTCCCAGTCTGGGAAGGTCATTTGCTCAAACCCCTCTGTGAAGCAGGGTGCATTTCATCCTCACTGTGTGCACAGGAGCTGTACCCACAAACACTGGGCTGGCCCCAGCGCTACACAGAACTGCTGGCAAAGGGGTGCAGGCTGGGCCAGACCCCAACAACTCTTGGTTCACCTTTCCTGAACTCCCTTCCAAGCTCCCAGCCCCCTAAACGTGAGGCACAAACCTGCTGGGGGAGGCTTTGGTCTGGAGGGCTGTGACAGCTCCCCACATGGCGCTGACCCCCAAGCTGGCACTGTTTGCCCCCACCCATGTTCATACAGTGCCAAGAGAGGCAGCAGGAACAGAACCAACCCAGCGAGTGCTTATCATCCACAGTGAGGCTTTCCTGGTTATGCTGGGCTTCTCCCACCCTGGCCAGCAGCAAGCATCCCCTTAGCTCTGCTGGGGATGGGGCTGTTCGATCGTCGCTGCGGGCACTCACCAAGCATCGCCGGCAGCTCCTGTGTCCCCTGACACTCCTTGGATGACATGGGCACTGGTGTCCCTCCCCCAGGCTTGTGGCTGGCTGCTCCCGGGTCCTTGCTGCCCCTCCACAGCACGGCCTGTGCAAACAAAGCCCCGTGAGGACACAAGGGCAAAGCGGTGTCCTGGCGGATCTGTCTCAGCACCAGCAAGGAAAGCAATCACCGCAACCAGCCTGGCCTCGAGGGAGGAATCACAGGGAAACCACAACGATCCTGGCCCCAGCAAGCTGGCAGAGGCCTGAGGGGAGGTGGAGAAGCACAATGCAGGATCCCTCGTGCAGGAAAGGAAGGTTTAACATTACTGACAGAAACGCCTCAGGATCAGGAAAATATTCCTGTTCCTGCCGTAAGCAGCCGCGGGACTGCTGCCAGCCCAGGGCTGACTCCGAGCGGCAATTGTTGATACCGAGGTGCCTCTCCTGGGGTGCTGTGGGCAGGTCCGTGTCCCCTGATATCCCTGGGACATGGGTGCCATCCCAATGGTGCTCAGCCCGAGAATTCCGGTGCTCCTGGAGCAGGACAGATGAAGAAGTGCGGAGTCCTGGCACACGGCGCTGGAGCAGCCTGCAGGGATCTCATGGGAGAAATGGGATCCCTGCTGAAAAACCAAGCTTGGCACGCCTTCTTGTGTGCACCGGGATGGTGGAACACCGGGAGCAAGCTGCCAACCCGCTCAGGGGTACGGGCGAGTGCAGCTTCGGCTTTGTACGACTTTGCCATGCGGATCACCTACGACAAGAGGCTTCTCCTTCCTGCCCGCTACTGGCAGCATTTGGCAAGGGTCCTGCTGGTAGTACCTCAAATAATGCATACAGGTGTGCCTACAGGTAAGAGATCTTAAGTACATACTTGCTTTAGTAGCAGTCATTTGTAGTTCTAATAAATTCACAGAAACAAAATTTCTGTGTCCTTGCGTCTGCTTAGCAGCCTCCTGGTTGCTTCGGGTTCCCTATGGAGGTTCATGGCTTTGGTCCCTGGTCCTAATGGACCAACCCCTGCATGCACTGGAGGAGAAAGAGAGCTGGGGAGGAGACTCTGTGATCAAGGTTGGGCGTAGAAGGGTGCCAAGCAGGAATGACTGTCAGGGAAGCCCAAAACAACCATCACTGTGGGAGGAGGGATGGGGGCAGGGGGCCTGCAGGAGCCCTGTGCTGGGGGAACAGGGCTCACTTGTCCCTGGAAAGAGGGGACCTCAGCACTCCTGGCTGTGTGGCTTTGAAGCCCTTGACCTTGGGAGGTTTCAGTACAGCCATGAGCTCCTGCAGCAGGGCTGTTGCTGAACTGGCCACCTCCAGCCAGGCTGTCTGCTGGGGCCCAGCCCCAGCCCCCAGCCCTGCTCTGTGGCTGGCAGGATGCACGTGGCAGGGATTTAGGACCGGCAGCCGGGAGGGAGCAGAGGTGAGCCAGCATGCCTGTGGCAACCCATGACACCTGTCCCCACCGCAGGCACTCTGCCAGCTCCCGGCTCTGGCTGACACCCCGGTACAGCCGCTCTCCCCTGCTTCTCTGCGCACGTGTTTGTGTGTGTCAACACACACGGACACGCAGTCAGCAGCCGCACAGCCTCGCCCCTTCACACCGGGGGCAGCTGCAGCAGGAGCTGTGATGGTGAAAACAGGCGAGTGGCAAAGGTATTTCGAATAAATCCCCGTCCTGACCTGCAGGTGCCAGCACAGACGCATAGACACTGTTAGAGTCAGAGGCACAAAGTGTGTGCCCTTATCTCTGGTACCTGGCTCTGACATCCAAGAAAACACTCAATTTCATATAGCACCGTGAATACAACTGTTAAAGTTAAATACAAAAACTAAGAGTGTGAGTGTGTAAATTAGAGAATTTCTTAAGTCACTGGGTGAAAAAGTTAAAGTTTGGAGTTTAAACTAGTTTAGAGAACAGAAGACAAGATGGAAGATTTAAGGTGTCTTTTCCTTCTTCTTTCTTCTTCATCTTCTTCTTCTAGAGGTTTTTGGGTAGTAGTAGGTGATTAGATAAAAAATGCCACAGTGCAGCACACAGGTGTTGGGTCATTAGGTCACTAAGAAAAACAATTTACTTGACATTTGTTAATTGAGTAAATAGACATATAAAACACCTTGAAGAAGATCTTTGTTAGCCTTTTTGCGCCTTTCTATCTTAGTGCACTTAGCTCCTTGTACCTTGTATACATGTAATGCTGATAAGAGAAGAATAAACAACCAAGTCCAAGCAAGAGAAAACTGCCTCTCTCATCAATCTCAGTCCAATGAAGAAAAGAACCCAACCACAAGTGTCCCATTAAGACAGACATGATGAGCCTCCTCCGAACCCCCTGCAGCCTGCTCTGGACAAAACCCCACCTTTTTCTGCTCAAAGCAATAAACCTTAAACCAATCTGAGCCAGAGCAACTCTAGTCCCAGACCTGCCTCTTGGTTGCCATGGCAGGATAAAGCCTTACACCCCCACATCCCAGCTCTTCCACCACAGCATATTACACCCAACACCCACAAGCTGCAGGGGTCGGAGCTACAGAGAAGCTGCTCCCATCTGACGGTCTCTTGACAATGTTTATGTGGGGAAAGCAGAATGACTAGGAATCCCACAGCATCACCATCCCTCCCCACTTGTGTCTTGGTGCTGGGGACAGCCCATACGTCAATGGGGATGGGTTCAGTGCTCTTGGGCCTCTGTGAGCAGTGGGCAATGCTGTCACCAGCTCTGCACATTGGTGATGTCCACAGAGAATTTGTTCCCATAACAGATTTGGCTCTTTTTTTTTATCCTCTCCTCACTGAATTTTGACCACATTCCAGTGCAGGTGTGCAAGAGAAAGCTTCCTTTGCCTGACAACCTCATCATGCCTCTGGCCACACAGCCTAGGAGAGTGGAGTACTGATTCTGATGAGGCAGAAAGACAGAGAGATGTAAATAACAACACACAGGCAGGAAGACAGGCAGTGTTTTTATTGCTGGCTTTACTCTGGGAAGAAGGGATAGAGCACAGCAAAGGCAAACTCCTCATGGTGCATGTCCCAACACCCAGTGTCACTGTTGGACACAAAATGATTCACGTGGACGCAGCTCGAGGTGTGGTGAAAGAAGAAGAAACGTTTATTTGTTCTTTCAGTATTTACAGGTTTTTGACCATGACCACAGATTGGATAGTCAGGTTAACACCTTCCCTACCGCACTGGCCGTGAGAGACATCCATCAAAAGACCTATCTTTAATGGAATGTATAAACACCTATGTTTATAGTTACTAGTGTCTAGAACTTGTGAAAACAATATTGAAAGGCCTGATCCTCAGGGAGACAATCCAGGGCAGCAGCAGCTCCTGTCTGCAGTGGCTCCACAGGGTGCACTGAAGATGGCAGCATCTGCAACGGGACAGGAGAGCAGGGTCACCCTCTCCTCAGCCATTACTGCTCTGGCACTGCAGCAACCCTGTGTCTGGAGTGAGTTGTCAGAGGAAAGGGAGACCCTGGGAATCCACTGTGTGCTGTGCAGCAGTCAGACAAAGCAGCACAGCACCCACAGCTTACCAGAATATGCCCATCTCCCTCCTCTGTTTGATGTCTCTCTTCAGCTGGCAGAGCGCACACGGGCTGCACCACCACATGGAGCAAAAGTCTCCCAGGATGGAGCCCTGTGGAGCAAGGGATATTGCATGAACAACCCCTTCCCATGCCAAACATTAAGCCTTTCAGCCTTTCTATTTTATATAGTCAGCACCCCACGGCAGCTCACCCTGGCCCTGCAGCACCCTGCTGCTCATACCCAGCAAGGACTGGGATGAAGTGATGTGTGCTGGGATTACCTCCAGCTCACAGTGGTGAGGCAGATGTGTCCCTGACTCCTGGCCTGCTGGGATGCCCATGCAACTCCCTGCCTCTGCCCTTCCCCTTGGACACCCCTTTCTCCTTCCCTGAGCCCCCAGCACCCATGCCACAGCTGTTGCTGCTGTTGGGACAGGCCACAAGCTGGTCACTGACCGGGATGTTGTATTTGGTGCGGTACAGGGTCCTCATGGCCACGCTGGAGCCACACAGGCAGCACTCATTCATGTCCCCGGCCACTTGGCAGCTCAAGCAGAAGAAGCAGAACGTCCCACAAAGACCTGTGGGACAGTGAGATGTGGGCTTGGCTGAGGGGTGGCAAGACAGATGAAAAGGGGAAAAGCCAGCTGGGAGCTGTGGCTCTTGGCATCAGACAAAAGCCACTCTGCCTCCAGTACGCATGGGAGTGGGTTTTGCATCAGGGATAATGCTGCAGGAGGAGCAGGGTAAAACATCAGGAATACATCATGGGCATTGGCAGGAATGAGGGGTAGGTATGTACTCACACACGCCGCAGTCAGAGCAGCAGTCCAGCAGCCCTGTCTGCCACTGCCCTGGCTGTCGGGCAACTGAGAACTGGGGTTGGACCGTAATCACAGCTTGAGAGGCCATTGCCAGCACAGGGTCAGGTCCTTCCAGGTAGTTTGTGGTCTGGAAAGAAAAGCCATCAGAGGAACATGCTGCAGGTGTTTCTGAAGTGGGCATCTTGCTCTGGCAATTGCATTCAAAGTAAGAATTTCTCTCTGCCACTTCCAGAGTAATGTCACCCTCACCATAAAGTGGGGGGCACAGTTCTGCCAGAAGCTACTGCTACCCACTGAAGCAAAGCCCTCCCCAAAACCAGTCTCCCACCAAAGGCAGTAGCACATCATCCCTTGCCTATGCAAGTAAAATGCCTCTGTGAAAACAGAGGTCCTTCTGCTTCAGAACTGCAGTACTCCAACACTTCAGACCTGTCTTCTCATCTCCAGGTCATCTTTCATTGTTGTCTGTGTAAAATGAGTAAAATCATCTGTGTAAAATTGTCTGCATTACGGACTGGTTTTTGATTTTGTTTTTGTTTGTTTATGATCACAGTCTCCTTAAGTTACTACCGCTCAGTTCTAGCCTCCCCAAGCTCTCAGGAGTCACCTTAGTCTTTGCTTTGTTCTACGAGAATCTCAGCCTATTTACTTCCCCCTCTCCCTTCCTTCTTCACTTGCCTTCTTAGTGTGCTTCAAGGCAGTGGGTTTTCCTTGTCTCTTTCCATCACCCTAAGCCCTGTCACCAGTTCCTATCCCTCCTCCACTTGACTTATCTGTGCCAGCACCTCACCCTCCTCTTCCTCACTCCCGTGGGATCACCATGGCTTGCAGAATTCCTCTCCATCCCATCCTTCCTCAGCAAGGGGCTGCATCCTCTGAGAGTAGGAAATCTCCTGCTCCACAGCACCATCCCCAAAATCACCTGACCAAAGTAACACCTGCACTTCTGTCACTCCCTGCCAGCTCTGCAAGACACAGCACCAGCTTCTGCCACTCTCACTTTCGTTTCTGGAGCTTTAATTAAAAGAAAAAAATAGAGGATGCTCCCACAGGAGAAGTCCCATGCAGACACACTCCCTGCCCTGTGCCCGAGTTCTGCACCACTTTGTTAAGCACTCCAAGGAGGATCGTTTTCACACCAGAATTGCATATTTACACAAAGTTGAGTACTACACAACACAAGAAATGGGGTGGAACAATTACTGTGCCCAGCACTCAGAGATGCCATTGAGTTCATTACCCACATCAGAGCAGCACCGGCTGTGGCACTGCATTTGTACTGACTAATGCCAAGAGGTGACAAAGGGGAGATTCCCCAAGATTTACAGATACATCCCAGTTGTCAGACACTGTTGCTGTAGGGCCAGCCCTTGCTCCTGGAAATCCCAGGAAGAGGAAAAAGATTGTTGAATTATGGTGTTAGAGGGAAGAAAGCTGATAAAAATCTCCACATGGTTTGCTCCCTACTTTTTGCAGTTTTCTGCATGCAGTGGAAGCATGGCTGGGCTGTCTCTCTCTGAGACACCTGTGAGTGCAGCAGGGGACACTGCACCCACAGTCCCTCTCCGGACACCTCCTGGCCCTGCCTTGGCCAGCTGTCCCTGTTCGTTCATCCACGAGATCCCAGGTAATTCCTCCCACTTCTGCAGCCAGTGTAACACCTCCTGGCATGCCAAAACAGCAGCCCCTTCAGGAAGCCTTGGCACATGACGATTTAAGAAGCAAGAGCCATGAGGGGCAGGGGAGGAGACAGACCATGGGCAGGCTATGCAGCGGTGAGCCCAGCACGGGGCTCCCATGCAGTGACAGGGATGTCCAGCAGCAGGCAGGACCACAGGGAGAAGTGTGCACAGGAGCAGCAGCAGCAAGAGTTTTAGGGGCAGGATCCCTCCAGTCAGGGAGTTCCCTTCCCCAGGTACGAGCACCCCACATCCCTACGTGGGTGGAGGCTGTAGTGCGGAGCAGGCAGCGGCCTGGAAAAGCCTTCCCCACACACTCGCTTCCCAAGAGATGGCCTAGGCTCAGCACACCAAAAGTATCACAATTCTACAATTCACAGCCCCATGGCATCACCAACCATGCTGGAATGACTGATGGGGACAAAAGGATCCCGAGCTGCATGCAGCCACATTTCACCCACAGCACAGCTCAAAAAGCAGCATCTATAGGCCCATGCATATGTGCACAAATGAGCAGCACAGTGCAAAAGCTGCTGTCCTCCACCTCTGTTACCCACATCTGTCCAGATGCCATCAGCAGCACACATTAAGCTGTGATTAACCCTGGTGCATTTTCCCAGATGGAAAACCTCACCTTTTTTTCTAGCCCTTCCCATTCTCCAGCACCACCGCTTCAGTCACAAGCCGTTTCCATACCACAACCAAAGCAAAGCCATGCCATACGTACTTTCCAAGCTGTCCTTTTCCCCGCAGACACGTGTCCTTTTCCTGGTTCTCATGCTTTATATGTGCTCTGGCAAATGACCTTTGCTCCCTCTGACTAACAGTGCAAATGGCAGCTTAGGTGCAGCTTTGCACAATGGCAGCTTCCCTGTTGCCCGCCCTCACCTTTCCCCCCACCCTGGGCGTTCTCCAGGCCCAGAGTCCCAGTGGGAGAGGTTTCCAGAGAAGGGCAGTTTGTTTCCGTGCTCCTGTGCTGCCCAAGCCATGTGCTGTTGGAGGTGCAGCATGTTTCCTTTGTCAAACCTGAGCATCCGCAAGAACTGACTGTAACTGCACTGGGTGACACGGGGGTGACCTCTCTTAGGCTAAAAATGCATTTCTCTACATTGCCAGGGATCATCCATAGGACCATCTGGGGTTTAAACAGTTGGGAGTGCCATCACACCCAACCACCCTGCAGCACAGACAGAGCCATTACCTTGCCCTTCAAAAGTTTTGTGGTGAAGGTGAAGGCAGAGTGGGGACAAAAAGCAATCATATGGTCCTTAAAGAATGAAGCAGGGAGATATTTGTAGGGATCAAGAGTCCTTTAGCACTCTTGGGAGTGATGGAGAGAGGGTGGATGCAACCTCCACCTTCTGGATGGGAATGCAGGGCTCACAGCCCAGTGCTGTGTAATGCCATGAAGGAAGATGGCATTGTTTGTCCCTGGAGAGGACACAGGTAACCCATGAATCATCCAGGTTTTTTTACTGCAGGTGGGGAGGAATTTATGCTCAGGGTCCATGTCCCTGCAACATAGAGGTGAGCTGGTGCCAGGCAGCCCCAAATCCCCATGTCTTTAGAAAGGCATTCAGAAAGATAGCGCTGACCAACAGCCCTGAACAGCCACCTGGGCCACCACAGCAGGGGCACTGCTGGGTGGCCTACAGAAGTCACTTTCCTGCAGGAAGATACAGCAGTAGTCGTTTTCCCAAATTTTGCAACTTGGATGAGCAACACTGACTCAATGTGTTAAATATCCTTTCTAAAAGCTGATCCAATAACAAAATACTAGTGGAAATCTCTCTGCAGAAGACACAGAGAAATTTCACCAAGGGCTGATAGATGGATGGAACAGGAGAAGGATGGGTGCTCTCAGATGGTGCAAAAATGACATACACAGAGGTAGGAAGATAAACTCAAAACTTTATTTATGCAGTTAATTATGGAAAATCAAATGCAATCAAGGCAAGCCCCACATGGTGCATTTCCCAAAAGTCAAGGCAGCAGTGACTCCTGCCTGCAGCATCTCCAAGGACGCAGCAAGGGTGGCAGCATCTGTAACAGGATGGGAGAGGACTGTCAGGGTCTGGGGCTGTGCCTCACCACGCTCTGTGTCCCCTCAGTTCTTCCCCCTCCACCTTGCACAAGGTCCCAGTGACATTTTGCTTCAGGACAGGTCACTCTTATGACCTGTCCATGGCCATTTCCCCACTGCAGCACTTTGTCTGGTGTCAAGATGCTGGCAGGAGAGGCTCTGGGAAGGCACCTGGCTGCATGTGACAGCAACTTTATAGACCAGCACCAGCACCCCCAGCTTACCAGAATATGCCAAGCTCCCTCCTGCGTTTGATGTCTCTCTTCATTTGACAAACAGAGCACACGGGGCAACACAGGGTGACACAGAAGTCAGAGCAAATGGACCCCTGTTAGGAAGAAACTGGTTATGGACAGAGGCTTCCCAGAAGTCATGTTCCAGCCAAGAAAATGTTAATCACATTCCAGGCCCAGTACTCTTTTTTTATCAGCCTGCTGCAGCATCCTGAGTGGAAAAAACAGAAGCCTTGGGCTGGCAAACCCCAAGCACCACAGAAAGGAAGAAGGGAGCCTCTTGTGCAGGCTGCAGATAGCTTTTGACTTCTGTGTTTCAGACTGGGAAGAAAAATGCACACAGGAACAGACAATTTGGGCAAAGTGAACTTGGGCCCCCATGGGTTGCACTTGTGATGGCAGCAACCACCTCTCCTGCAGGAAGAAACACCCTCATGTACCTACTGTCCACCTTTCTCCCAAACCTGATTATGGATCTTTATCCATGTACCCAGCTTCACCTATTCTTTAGTCAGCCCACAGTTATTTCAAGTCTTTCCCATCTTTCAAAGCTCAAAGGAGGAAGCAGCAGCAGCGATGGATACAAATGGGAAACAAGGGGGGAGTGGAAAAAAGTGAGAGGGGCCTTGGGGGCACCCCATCTTTCAGGCTCGCAGCAGGGTGAGGGGGCAGGCTCAGCACTGACCGGGATGTTGTATTTGGTGCGGTACAGGGTCCTCATGGCCACGCTGGTCCCACACAGGCAGCACTCATTCATGTCCCCGGCCACTTGGCATGCCAGGCAGGGGAAGCAGAACATCCCGCAGCAGCCTGGAGAGAGGAGAAACACAGCACTGGTTAAGGCTCTGCCTGCCCACCTGGTAGCACTGGAGTAGATGGGAGAGCCAGGCTGCATGGCTGCACAGTAGCAGCACTGCACTGAGCAGCAGGAGCAAGAAAACCGTGTCCCAGGCACTTACAGACGCCACAGTCGGAGCAGCAGTCCGTCAGGCCTGTCTGCCATGTGCATCTCGAGGCAGCGGACATGGCCCCGCCATACTGCGGCTGGATCGTCACAACGGTTGGGACAGCCATTCCAAGGTCCTCTTCTGAAAGAGGAAACAGGGTAGTAAGTGCAAAAACTGTGATTGGTCTGAACCTCCAACCAAACCTGTGGCTACCACCCTTCAGTAGGACACCTTCTGCCCAGTTCCCTATCTGGCATTGGAGGTGATAGAGCATAACCATATCTTGCCTGCATTTCTATCCTTTCAAGGTTTTTGCATTATCTGCCATTTTATCCAGCCTTCAAAATAGCATCAGGTCACTGGTGTTCCCCACTCCACCCCATGAAGGCTTTGCTAGTGCTTAGACACAGCTCATTTCCCTTGTACTGATCTGGGCTGGGTAGAGAACCCAGACTAAAGGGAGTGACTTGAGCATTCAGGTTGTTTGACTTGGCATATTTTACACAAAGATGCCTTTGGAGTGGGCACACGGAGCATGTGAGAAGCACCTGCGGACTCATTTCCTCATAGCAAAGCGAGGCTACACACAAGCAGGATACTATAGAAAACTTGTATCTCTGGTTTCTTGACGTAGGGAGCCAGAAAGGCAGAAAATCAATGTCCAAAATCTGATGCCCTCTCCTTGCCTTCCTGTGGTTAACAAGCAAAAAAACCTTGAAAACCGGTAAGCCTCAGGTCTAAAATAATAATAATAATAATAATAACAAGAAGAAGAATAGTAAGAATAGTAAGAATAGCAACAAGAACAATTTCTCTCTGCTTCTAATCCCCTAGCCAAATAAAAAAGCACAAAGTAGTTCTAGGTAATAATTCTAAGAAAGTTTGGGTTGGGTGAGGTTTTCTGAAATAAGATAAACTGCTGCTCACATTTATTGAGACTATTTTTCTGTAAGTTGGGTTGGTTTATTTTATTTCTTAGAAACAGCAGTTCGACAAAGGGAGACCCACCCTTCTGTGTGGTCAGGCTCCTCCTCCTGCTGCTGCTTCTGAGCTTAAAAGTCAGAATAGAAACTCAAATGAAAGAGTGATGCTGGGGGAGGGGAAGCACGTTCTTTCTCCATCCTTTGGAGTAACGAGTGCTTCTCCGGAAATCCCACTCCTGGCTTCAGCTGGCAGCACATGCCAGCCTGCAAGCCCGGTGGGAATGAAGCTGGAAGTGGTATCAGGTGTGTGTCCAGAGGGAAGTGCAACGCCTCTGCCTACCCACAGCTTCCCTCTACCTGCCCACAGCTTCCCTCTGCCTGCCCACTGCAGTGCCACCGACATGTGGTGAATCTCCCTACACTTCACAAAGGTACAGTGTCCTCTACACAAGTATTACTCACCTATTTTCTCCTCCCCTAACTGCAAACAATAAAGAAGAGTAGAATAGCTGCACTTGCCATTGACAGCACACCCCAAAGGGACAGCAAACACACAGGGAGACCAGGTATCAGAAGCCACCCATGTCCAAGCTTCTGGTAGGGCAGCCCAGTTTAAACAGAGAGTAAAGTACCAGTCAGATTCCTTCAACACATTTATACAATTGTGTCAGCATCAGAAAGCAGCAAGCAGAGGTAACTCTCCATAATCCAGCTTTTGTTCATAGCTTTTTTAAAGCACACCCCCCCCCCCCCCC